TAATGGCAAGTGGGTTCAACTTGCAGTGTCAGCATGCTTTCAATGACTGAAGCAATGGAAGAGAGGGTTTTTTCATTTTTCAAGTCATCCGAACTCTATACCATTTCTTCCTCCCTTTAACCGGTTGAAGACTCAGTGGTCTTCACCTCTGGGGTGCCAGTTTAAAAAGCCTGAACTGCTGGTAAGCTTGCCATTTTTTCTGTTGGGCATTAGATTCCTTCTGGTTCTTTCCGAACCGTTTCGTCTTCTGAAGATTTTTTGAGCCGTCATTTCTAAAACCACTAAAATACTGAAGCTTCCTAATCTCCGTCTCCAATTTATATCTCAAACAAAATTAGTTTTTTCTCTCAAGCTACCTTGTTTACGACCATTTCTTCTATTTTTTGTTGTTAGACGTGAAAGTTCTTTGTAGGCTTCGTTTTTCATTTGTTCGTTAAAGTACAGCAAAGACTGCAAGAAGCGCAAGCGCCAGGACAAACCCCCGACATTTCAGTGAAGTTGCCTTTGAAGTGAATTTTTAAATTAAATTTGTTACATGAAGGGGACCTTGAGGACTAGAAAATACTTTCTTCTAATGATATTACTCCACAATGCATTCTCTTTTATGAGTCCGGCAATTTCGTTTCTTGACATCTTATTCAAAACTACTATTAAGTACTGGCTATCCTCCTACTTCTTTTTATCCCATGCAGTTTTCTTTCTTTCTTCACAGTCAGTCTCATACTTGTTTATTCGCATTTCTTAACCTTGTTGTAATCTTGTTTTTCTGAGGCGAAATTCCCTTTTATTTCCTACAAAAAGTTCGTATCTACTCCACATCAACGACTGCAAAATATCATGAGCTTCAGCATTGGAGACGAGAGGTCAAGATGTTTCTGTTGAATTTCTTTCCTGACTGTGCTAAGCACTGTAGGAATTAACTGATTGATTAAATAAATACTTTTCTATCCCACCAGGTTATATTATTGAAAAAAGTTCTCTGTAAGTCCTTCCTGCAATGAAAAAAAAAGAACTGCTTGTGTGAGATGTGACAAGCCTCCTAAATAGCTACCTTCGACAACGCAATTAATTTCTACTCTGAAAATCATGATTCTGGCTGACTTTTCAGTTTATTATATTATTCCAGAATCGACTAATGGGCCTGCATTACACACCCAAAATATATTCAATGCTCGTTTCCAAAAAAATATTAGCGGAAAATTTTCTGAAAGTTGGCAGGCGAAAGGTTCTCGAGTCGGTCTAACTTTTTATAACGTCGTTCTAACATTGGCGCAATCTATGTCTTCTGGAGTATAAATCAACACACGGCTATAACGGTGCCCACTGCAAAGGTTGCACTACACGGATTAAGCTGAATCACTACTGCTTCCCCAATAAATGCTTTTTTGTATTGCTGACTTGAGGCTCCTGCATTTGCGCAGAAGAGAAAGGTCCACACGCCGTTGAATTACCGTGAAGCGATGTCAAGGACGTACTACACCAGGAACTCCAACGATGACTGCTCTAACACTTTAATACCAACAATCCTTCAAAACAGTTTTTGTGTGGAACAAAGTTCGACCCCCAAATTACCTGGATAGAGAACTCCCTGAAGAATACAGCCAATACCTTCATAAAACTGTCACTGCCGGCAACCTGACCAGCGCAGCACTGCTCCCTCTCAAAATATGCTTCGGCTTATCAGACCTGGAACTAATGCCATAGCTGATACAAGTGTTAACACGGAAAACGAGTACGGAATAACAAATTTTAATACACCGCTGACACCCCAAGTGTCTTCACTTGAAAACGCAGCGTTTGCAACAGCAGTTACATTCTTTGCTGGACATATAAACAAGCTCTTAAGCTGTAAAAAATGAGGTGATACAAGATGGGATCAAAACCATTCAAAGCGAATAAAAAATCTAGACAAATATACGTCTCTTACTAAGAACTCCTCGTTCTAACTCAACTAATTCACAAAAACAAACAGGCGCACACTTGGACCAGTACAGTCAATAATGACCCAGGTTAGACGTCAAACAACGAAAGTGATGAGTAAGTAATAAACAATAAAGAGTAAAAAATCTAATGCCAGGCCGAGTTGAAAGATTCGGGCTGCCGAGACCGATCATACCCATTGTAATCTATACCTCTTCGACCCATATAACCACCCCTAAATAAAATGCGTTATCAAAGTTCACTCGACCGCCTAAAAACAAAAAGTGAAAATACCAACCGCAAATATTCATCATAACCGCCCCAACCACTCTCACGCGGGTCTAAGTCATACGACCTCGACCGAGAGTAATCCATTTCTTCAAGATTCCGTTCGTACCTATCACCCGCGTAATTGCCAGATGGCCTGTTAAAGTAAGCCGACGAAGAAGGATTCCCGTAACCCATACCGTCGTGTAACCCAAACATGGGGTAGTCAAGATCCCTGCAAGATATCTTCATTAGTGCAGACTAAAGATAAGAAAAAAGAATAAGAAAAGGAGAAGGACGAACTCGGGCCTACGACGCATAGCTCGGTCAGGGTACATGTACCTGTCATCTCTCTGTTCACCATATGGCCCGTCCTCCATCATATTATTATCCTCTGAAGTGAAGTGGAATTTTAAGTTGTGCGGAAAGTAACCCAAAGAAGAAGTTAAACTGTACTTACCGCGTGGAAAACGAGGCATATGAACTTGAGAATTAGGGTTGAACCGATTAAATCCACTCAAAGGCCGAGCGGCAGCGGGTTTCCTCATCTTCTTCTGGTCTCCCTTTTTCGCTAAAATCCTTTTATTTTCCAACAGAGAACTGTTAGCGGTTGCCGACTTGATATTTTATGACACCCTTATAATTAAAAAGTTAATGAAAATGTAATTACGGAATTGCCGTGGGCCATGGCTGTTTAACTGAGCACAACTTTGTAATGCTTCGTAGTCCTCTCTTGTTAGTAAAGGTGTCGGTTGCGCTATATCCTGGTTGACTGGCGGATTGTTGACAGCTGTTCCAGTAGGACCCCACTCTTAACCCAGTATTATAAATACAAAATAATTATAATGAAAACAAAATTGTAGGACAAGTTTCTATTCTGGTCAGCGGGTATGCTCATCCCCTAGCAACCTGAACAAAGCCTGCAGCAGAACACGTCAAAAATCTAACGACGTTTTGTAGTCTCGGCATTCCACCGCGAGCAACGCTTCTCAATCAGTAACACTTCGGCAGCAATCAGACTGTGGTTTAAAAAAATACCTGGCATGCTTCTCCGAACTCCTATGACTCCCCCTCGTTGCTGCCTTTTCCCTCCTCTTTTGCCCCTCGCACTTCGCCTTGCTTTTCCGTTCTGAGGTAGTGAAGATACGAGCCTACGGTT